ACATTTTCCTTTCAAATAATTGGAGTTATGACATATCTCGATTTGCATAGGGACAATAATAGGCCATAGATCATCGTGACCCACGTTTTAACTTTAAAGGGATAAATTCAAAATAAAATAAGGTAAAATATGAAAAAATAAATAAGTGAAGTCAAATCTAGGAAGTGTTTGTTTGAGCTTATAAGCTTGTCAAACTAGCTTATAAGCTCTAAAATTAAGTTGACCTATTTGTTTATAATTTTTTTGAGCTTATAAACGGGGCTTACAAGCCTTAAAAAAAAAAAAAAAAAGTTTGGGGAAGGTACTTTTTTCTTTTCTTATAAGCACTCTGCTTATAAGTTAGTTTGACTAAGTATATTACCACATTATCCATATTTTATTTTAAAATTTCATAATATACTCTTATTTTTATATTTCAAACTGGTCATGTTACTATGGTACCATTTTTAGTCATTTTAATAATAAAATGTATTTATAAACCACATTTTACCAAACGCGTCAACTACTTATCAATCACATATAAGTATTTTAACTAAACTCATAACTGTTTAAATTTTAAATGCTTATAAGCTCAAATTATAGTATAAGCACTAGCGGCTTATAAGCTAATTTTCGCTCAGACAAACACTCCTTTAAAAACATTAATACAAGTTAAAACAAAAAACCCTAATACTTCTAACCTAATTTTCATAAGCTCAGACAAACAGTCATTTAAAAACATTAATACAAGTTAAAACAAAAAAACCTAGACTACATTAATAATTTTTTTTTTAGGTGGAATTACCAACTCCAATCGTCACTGAAAATGTCAATCCTTAATTGTTCAATCTCTGCTTATTGAAATCAACGATTGGGTTGAGGATTCCTAGATATTGAAGCCAATTTTCGATATGACATTAAACAACTACAAAATGGAGAAGGGGGGAGGATATAGAAACTTAATCGATAAACAACACAAGCAAATTTTGGTTGAGGAACGATGAATTAAAAGGTACCACATGAACCCTTGGATTAATTGCCTTCAAAAGGGTAAAGGAGGGACCTTCTAAAGGTACATACACATATGGAGGGTACAGCACAAGAATTTTGTCCTATGTCTAGGGGTGTGCAAAAGAACTGGCCAGAACAGGAACCGGCCAAAATCGGAACAGGCGGGTACTCGGGGTTTCGATTCCGATCCTTACCCGAAACTAGCCCTCACAAGGTCAATTCCGGTTCTAGAAATCAGGAACCGATCGATTTCTGTTTTGGTTCCTGTTCCTGCAATGCAAGAATCGAGAACTAAGAATGGGAATTGAAATCGGAACCAGAACCAAGGTTTGGGTACTCAGGGTGGGAATCGGTTTGGAACGGAATATAATGAAACAATGAAGGGTCGATTGTAATTTGACTTATCAATAATTCAATATCAAAAAAGGTCTATTAGGTTAGGAATTGGGGAAAAAAGAAGAAGTCAGATTAGAAGAAGGGGAGAACGACTTACACATACCCAAGGTTTATTGAAACGACAAGTTGGTATCCAAAAGGTTTTGAAACGACAAATAGGTACCTTCCGTCATGTTCTGTTAGTGATTTCTGTTTATTAATAGTGAAAAGACTAAAATACCCTTGACAGTTTATTATTTTAGTTTTTTATAAATTTAAAAATTTCCAAAAAACCCCCTAAGTTTGCTAATTTAACCAAACACCCCCATATATAAAAAGTTTGTTAAATGACAAAAACACCCCCACCACCCGCAGTGCCAGATTCCGGCCACCACCGCCGGAATCTGGCCGAAAAATTGCGTTACGACACAGACCCATCGGATCTGTGTCTTAACGTGTCGATCTAGCCTTTTCCGGCTAGATCAGCCACGGATCTGGCCGGAAAAGGCCAGATCGACACATTAAGACACAAATCCAATGGGTCTGTGTCGTAACGCAATTTTCCGGCCAGATTCCGGCGGTGGTGGCCGGAATCTGGCACTGCGGGTGGTGGGGGTGTTTTTGTCATTTAACAAACTTTTTATATATAGGGGTGTTTGGTTAAATTAGCAAACTTAGGGGGTTTTTTAGAAATTTTTAAATTTATAAAAAACTAAAATAAGAAACTGTCAAGGGTATTTTAGTCTTTTCATTATTAATAAACAAAAATCACTAACAGAACATGACGGAAGGTATCTATTTGTCGTTTCAAAACCTTTTGGGTACCAACTTGTCGTTTCGATAAACCTTGGGTATGCGCAAGTCGTTCGGCCTAGAAGAAGTGAAGAACTGCCATCGCCATCGACATCAGATTTGCCCTAACCTAAACGACCCTTCTCATTCTCTCTCAACCTCTATTAGACTGTTACTCTATTTTCTCCCTGAGTTTCTGCGTCTCTCCCTTTCTCGCTGTCTTCATTGCCGTCATCGACTGATAAAGGTATCAATTTCATGCCGTTTTTACATTTCTGTCTTCGCTGTTACAAAGGTTTCGTATTGCCATCATCTAGTTATCTAGCTTCTGGTTTCAAGGTTTCTTATTGGGGAAAATAGGAAGATGGAAGAATAATCTTTCATTTCTTTATTTGGAGAAATGATTGAATAGAAGAAATATTGCTAGAAGATTTATTTTATCATTGTGTTTGGAGGTGGACGAAGTAGGTAAGAAATGGGGATGGGTTTTAGGTCTTGATATTGTTTGTAAAATTGGAAAAGGAGGGTTATTGGTGGTGAGATGTTATGAGGTTTTTGCTAAACCTTGGAATTAGTTCAGTCATGGTCATAGAGATTTATGATGGTTTTTTTACTAGAGAATGAAAAATATAGAAGGCGGAAATTCTTTTTCCTTTACCTTTACTGGGTAAGAATGAAGTCTTGAATGATGTTTGGTGAGGGGTAGATTCTTGTGTACTATATTTTCTTAATTTATCACGTCTTAACTTTTCTGGTTTACCGAATATCTAATTGGTAGTTTATTAAAAATAGTGTTAATAGGATGGTTAAGGCAATACAGTGATAGGGCTGATAATTTTACTGGTGTGAGAATTTGGGTACTGCTATAGATGCTTCCATACCTTAGGTGAATGAATAAATAATTCTCAAGTATTAAATCCATAGCTGAATGAATGAAATAAATTTTTTCAGCAAACAGTTTTGGATGTGGTACCTTTTGATTTTTGATATGGTAAATTGTTATGATTCTTATGTCTTGGAAGTGAAGACATTTGAGTTATAGAATAATACTTGTGCAATAATAATTTAGAGTAAAGCCCATACATTAAAATGTTATAAACATTTATTGGAGATAATTAACGAATCTTTGATATTTGATATTTGAAGAGTAATTGACGTAATAAAAATATATAATTATTAATAATTAATTAAATATGAAAAAATAAAAAATAGAAAAAACTAAACCTAAATATAAAGTTAATCCCACAATCATCGCACTCTCCTTAATCCCAAAACCACCGCTCCTTTCTCCCTCTCTAGCCATTGCAGTGGCTGGCATCAAACCGTACAATTGCCAACCCTCTCTGCCTCCCTAACCCACTGCTACCGCCCCTCTCCCCCTCCCAACTTGACCATCTTGACTTCAAATTTGGCCGCATTTGGTCGTTACTGTTGTGCATTGGGGCTGATAGGTAGCTTATGAAAGGACCAAACTGCTGATAAATTACATTGATTAAATTTTTAGGGGAGTTTTACTTGCTTTGCGGGGGATTATGAATGAGATTGCTTCTGATTTATGTTTTCTTCATTTTTGATTAGTGATGAAAATTTTGTTTGAAGATTAGTAGACGTTGGATTGTGAAGGTGTTGATTAGTAATGGCCAATGATGTGTGGGTACGGTTGTCGAATTGGATTGCGTTAGGAGACTTGTTAGCTGGGCCGCAATGTGTCAACATGGCGGTGATTTGCTTACACTCTGGGAGAAAGCTGACGAAGTCTCTCTACGGGGAAGTTGTTGGCTTTGTTGGAGATTTAGGATGAAGATTGAAGATGAAGAATGAAGAATGAAGAATGAAAAATCAAATTGGGTTTTACAATTTTAGTGACTCGGTTTAGGGCTCGGGTCGGTTGGACTGACGGTTCGCTATTGTATCATCGGTCCAATCGCGGGTTAATTGCAATTATCAGTTTCTAGACTTGACCGGCCCGACTTAGCCCTTGGTTCTCGGTTAACTGGTCAAATCGACCGAGTCGAGGCGGATTTGAAAACATTGCTTAAATAGGGTACATATTGCCTCCTTTCCAATACCCTCGCTATTTCCCACATCAGATAACTTTAGGTGATTCGGCAAAGAAAAGTTTCTTGTTTACATAACATCATTACTTGATTTTTTTTGGACAAACCTCGACGGTACGAGGAAATTTTATTAATAATAAAAAAATTTGACACCTAGTAAGGGGGGACGCAATGAGCCTTACCCTTCAAAGCAAATCTATGTTACATGAATATATATAAAAAAATGATGTATGCATGCATGAAACACATAAAAACAAAAGGCAAAATACAAAACAACATTACTCAAGCTAGAATAACTGTACGTAAACATACATCCAGGTAACTGCCGACTGATATGATCTTGCAATTCCTTGGTGAAAAAAAGATTGAACAGCATCCCACCATTGAAGAATGGAATATAATATTGTGAGTCAACTTTGAAAATAATCATTTCTTGGCAAAATTAAAGAACATGAAGACACCAGAGTTATCTTCCATGATTCAATCCGTTTCCGGCAAAGAAATATTAAAATTAAGCTCAGAAATATTAAAATTAAGCTCATAACAATTCCATAAACTCTGAACATCAGAAAATGAAAGAATATGTGAGTAGTGGTATCATCACCAAGAACAAAAGCAAAAATAAGCCATAAAATACCAAATCTAAACCTGTAAAGTTATATCGTGATATATTGTAAATATGAAACACTGAATTAGAAAATAAAATCAACACGTTATATTCTTACAAATAAAGCAATCTACATTAAAAGGAAAAGGAAAAGAGATTACCTGTGGACTGAATGCAGATCAATGGCTGCCTTTTTCAATATATTTGAGATCAAAAAATTTCGGGCGGCATCCAGATGAATCCATCAGTTTCGTTTGGATACTGTCCTTTATCTTCTCTAGCTCAGGGCATGAGATGATCTTCAACTCCTTCAAAGTTGTAGCCTTATAAATGTAGTCTGGCAGAGTCTTTAACTTGGGGCAGAATGCAATTGTGAGGGACTCAATACGTTCCATGATTTTAACATTTTCTTCTTTTGCAAACACAATCCCGTAGTTCCATTCTTTCCATTCTTTCATATCTTGAAATTCGAGATGTTCTAACTTGGGAAATGCCTCCGCCAAGGATTTGCTATCTGTAATTTCCAATCCCAAAAATTCATTACCCACTCTTTCCACATTCCTTGAACTCCTTATAATAAGTGATTCAAGGGATGATAATTTTCCCAAAGGAGGTAAATTATCCAGCTTCATGCAATGATTTAATGACAAAAACCTCAACTTTTTTAGTAAGGTTACCCATTTGGAAGACATAACCTTGCCACTATATTGAACTATCTTTAATCTCATTAAATTGGGAGGTAATTGCAAGTTTTCAAGAAACTTTTCATCATGATCTTCATTACCTCCCATCCCAGTTTCTTCATCTTTTCTGAAACATAGACACACATCGAGGAGGCTTTCCTTATTCTGGAGGGGTGAAGTTCCTTTCGGTTTGGCGAGGGTTTTTTTTTCTTCATGATTCCCAACTTTTTTATGCTAAGACACCCTCGAAGGTGTTTCAAGTCTTTGAGAGATTGAAGAGTACAGCTTTGCTACCGTGCCACCATTACGACACACACATGAATTCACTTAATGTTCGAAGACGAGTTAATTTCTCGATTCCTTTCGGCAAGTAACTTAGCGAAGTCTCCTCATTTACAATATGCCTTAGGTTGATCAACTTCCATCCTTTGAGGTAAAGTTTTGAGATTCCTACACCGATTGACCTCTAAGGTTTGTAAATTACTCAACTCGCATATTGTCTCAGGCAATTCTCTTATCCCTTTGTTGTTAGAAAAGTTGAGGTACCTCAAATGTACAAAATTTTTATTTCTCCTGGAACTTCTTGATTAATTTGTAAAAAGAATTATCCTGGTTGCTCAAATCTAATGCCCTTAGACAAGTCCATTGATCAAATAGCTTAGACAGTTCTACATTCTCATAAAACCACCTCTAGGCTCAAAAAAAGGCTACGCAACCTTTCTTTATGATCTTTAGCATAAACTTCTGGGAAATGAGCCCAAACTTTTCCAACGTTATCATTAAATGCCGAACGAATATTTAAATGTTGAACATCAGTATTTACGAGGGAAGATTCAATCTCGTTGCCTCCCTATGAAAACATTCATTCTCTGCTAGAAATCGAGCAAATTCACTCACCGAATCATGTAGCTTGCAATTATTATGCTACCATCATCTATATAATTGAAAATCTTGAAAAAAGGATCGCATTGTAAGTGGTCAAAATACTCTTCTCCTATTAACTCCATATCATCCCTTTCCTCTTCTAACTTAGATAACTCTGAGACATCCATAACTTTATCAATCGATCTTTTTTATTATAATTGTTTGGAAAGATAGCACAATATAAGAAACATTTTCTCAATATGAAAGGCAAATCATAATAACTCAATAATAAAAGCGGGAATACAGACCCTCTTTTCATTCTTCAAGTTCCCATATTTACTATCTAAGACACTTTTCCACTCTTCTACACTTGTTTTAAAGCGTAAAAGTCCTAATATCTTTATACCAAGAGGCAAACCATGATATTTTTAATGATCTTTGACCAATTTTTCTAGTATTTTTTCTTTCATCATTAGGCCTTCCAGAAAGTGCAATCTGGTGACACAATGACAACTATCATTATCAGACAGTCTCTCTAATGATATCGATTCGGTGGATTTTAAACCATTATTCTTATCTAATGAGGTCACCAGAATTCTACTTCCTCATAACTACACTTAAGAGCATGGTTAATTGTTCCCAATAGTTACACTGTAGAGTCAAAATGTACATCATCTAGGACAAGAAGAAAATTTTCTTTATTTACATCGACTTATGTGCCATAACACACTATCCCATTCAACAAAATTTGATGATGCATCATCTTACTTAGAGATTCAAGAATTGTTGTGGCAACTCTAATTTATTGAAGGATAAGCGCATACCCATATTTTATTGAAATGATTTTTACTTTCTCATCATTAAAAACTTCACGAGCTAGAGTAGTTTTCCCAATTCTCTCGGCCCAACAACAGAAAGATGGGAGGATTTTAGTATTTCAACCATCCCACATCCCACTAACCAAAGTTTACTATTTCATCCTTGACTTCATCTCTTCCATGAACTTTTGACATATTACCAACAAAAGAGGCAGTCAAATTTGTTTTAGTTCTCTTGTGCCCTTCACCAACTTAAAATTGAACTCATCTTTCTACACTAACATCATGTAGTGTTTTACTAACATATTTAATCTTAAGAGCATTTCTACTGCAAACGAACTCGCTTATTACCCATCAAATAAGGACGGATGGATGAACATACCTTTCTCATAAGAGTGGAATATCTTCGTTCTCCTGTGTCCTCTAATTCTTCAGGTCGTAGTTTTTGGATCGCAGTCGTCCACTCATCGAACCATCCTCGATATCATAGAACTTGTATTTAAGTTTATGTAACCAATATCCACAGCAAGATCGTCAATCTGTTGCTTTCCGCGTCCTCGAGCACCTCACGAAGGCCAACATTTGGTTGAAGAACTTGCGAATTCTCCTCCACGCACACCACTAGTCTTAACCCTTCTTGTTTTTCTGACGAAGCATTGAGTTCAGTTTGTCGAAGGCTTGGAAACAATCACCTGATCAGTCATAGTCAAAGATGGTAATTGCCCTTACCAGATGAGAATTTGAAGTATTTAGTTGTCGTAATTTTGTAAAATGTTACTATTTTCCTTTTGATCTTTATGAATGTTGCATTATGAGAATAGTCAAAGAATATTATGTCTTGCGTGGCTTGAAGCAAAGTTTTGCTTTGACGCTAAGTAACGTATGTATCGTTCTCCAAGTTATTCCAAAATTCTTTTTTTTTCCTTAATGTACATATTACTCATAACTCCAAATTATCCGGGTAGTCATTATAAACTATTGTAAAAATTACCAAATTATTGTTACGAAATGAACTTGTCTAATGTTTGAATACTTTGACGTGACTATTTACCTGATGGACACAAATAGTGTCCAATTTGACATTAACTATGATGCTGAGAGAATGGAGAACAGAGAAAAGAAAATGAAAAAGAAAGCAAAAGAAAAAGAACCATATAGAATAGATAAATTGGAAAGAAAAATGAAAAAGAGAAAGAAAAGAATAGAAGTTGGTGGCAGGTGAATGTTTATTGGTAAGGGAGAGAATAAAGATATTTTTAAGTTATTGTATTTGTAGTGTTTGTTATGTAGAAATACAAGAAGACACAAAAAAAAAAAAAAAAAAAAAAAAAAATCTAGAACTTAAATACCAAAATTATCATCAGAGTAATGGTTGTATTCCTTTAGGATTATCTATCCAAATATAAATCATATTTGGCAAATGGGCGGGCTGGCAAGCATGAGTACGGGTCAAACGGGTAAAAATTTTGGCGGGTAGGAAAATGCATCATCCGTACCGGCTGTGTGGGTACAGGTGACCCGCGGGGCACACGTTCCACATATATTTTCACTTTTTAATCTTTTCCCAAATTTGTTTAAACTTTTTTATTTTTTTGCAGCACCAGCAATACAATTTCATCATCAATCACACAATTTCATCATCAATTTCACCCATCTGATAGACTGATACACTAAAAAAGGAGATAATTTGAATCAAAAGAATCCTTATTGGTTACATTATAACCCAAGTGCTATTTAAAGGGATTGATCTATAGAGTAGAAGTTTTTCAACTTGTAGTTTCTCAGCTGGGTAATTGACATTAAAAACCATATGATACAAGAAAAAAATTATGAAGTTAGAATATTAATATTCAAAGTTTTAGCTTTAAAATATGAAAAAAGTAATCCAATCAGTAATATTAGAAATTTGGTAGTATAATATAACACTTAAATTTAATAATAAGGATTATATTTTAGCATCTAATCACTTATATATAGGTAAGAGCTATTAGCAGACAGCAGAACAATTTAAAAAATCAAAACATTTTGCAATTCTTATTAATTTTAATTTCTTATTTTTCCACTTGATTTTAGGTCTAGATCAACCCAGTTGTCTCATGTGGGTAACACCCATAAATCTTCAATTGAGTTTAAAAATTTTCATTCTCTATTTATCTCAATTCATTGTAATTTTTTTTTTTTTTTTTACTATTTCAATTTTTTTTTTATTTAGTGCAGGCATCCACGGGTATCATCCATTAATTTCATGGGTGGGCCGAATACAAGTAATAACGATATGAGTCCTAAATATATTAATCAATACTTACAAAAATTATTCGGGTACGAGCAAACTTGCGGGTAAATGACCCGTTTTACCAAGTTTAAATATAATTAGTTGACAAAATAATTATATATATATATATATAACTAATTGACTCCTACGATGCCAAGGAGGCTGAAATTATGAATAAACAAACATTGAAACACACAATCCAAAGATAACTCCATCCCTGACCAACAATAATATCATCAATAACTAAAACTAGAGGAAAAAGAAAGTTGTTTTAACTCCTAAAGACATAACCAGGCAACCATCAAAATCCTAAAGACGATGGAAACACAACCCCACAAGAAAAGGGTCAGGTTGCCTTTAACTCTAATACAAGAATCTAAATCATAGCACATAATTCACATCTTAGGAGACTTACAAAGAGGAGTCAAAATAAGACCAAGAAAAATGGTCAAAAGATTTCCATAATTCACATATCTGGGGCCATTCTTATTGAAGTATAACAAATGAAATTTGCAATCACCAAAGGTAGATCTTAATTTATAGTTTTATATAAAATACTTTTATAAATATAAAAAATGTATATCAAACCAACTATTATATTCATTTAAATATATATAATTTTATTCTTCAAAGAAGATATGGATAACCTGTTATTTATTTTCCAAATTTCAAAGAATTGGTCAAATGAATTGAAAAAGCTTTGTATTGGTTGAACTGGATTGGTACTTAGCCCACGCAAATCCAATCATTTGCCAACCTTATGTCAGAGACATAAAGGAAAACTGTAGGAAGCGCTCTAGAATTTGGATCTTTTCTTGATTTGCGTTTTCATGAGCTTTTAAAAATCTCATAATATGTGGGTATTTTCACATATTTATTGTTCAAATTTATTTGTCTATTATACTGAAACAACAAATCACAACCTTTAGCTGGTCGTCAAGTAAAAGATCAAATCATGAGAGAATCTTGGTCCAACAAGTAGCCTGACAATAAGTAGTGTTAAAATTTTTTTCAGAGTAAAACATGTTCCCACCCGAGGTTTAGCGAAATGACAAAGTAATACCCCTGATTTCATTTATATAAGACTCATATCTTTAAAGTAATACCGTTTGTTAAAATGTTATATACACTGTAGTGCGGCGTGCATTAGCAAGCTAAAGTACGTTAGAGCTTTCTTGGGCAGAAGACAGACTTATATTAATAGCGTCCAAGTCAACTATTTTTAGTTTTATATGGGTCAATTCTGAAGTGCAAAATCACTTCCAAAACTACTATTGGTTCCCCACAACCTCTTTTATAAAACACATGCCTTCACTTGCCGACCTCACTTACTGTTTTCGATCACTTCCATTCTTGCCACCTTGTGAGATTGGGTTAGTTCTCAAGCTTTTTCTGATCGATATGGGTATAAGCGACCCCTCCAGATTTCACTACCAGCTTCTCTGCCATCAGTTGATTGTTGTGATATGTTTTTTGGCCGTTGCTAACTTTCCAATTGTGGGAAATCAAAACCCAAATTTGTGCCCATAACCTGCTCGATTAAAGTCCTGGCCCAGCTACTGCCTAGGAGCCAATCCCATCACCACTAAATTAACTAAATTAACGGTGTTACTTTTAAGGGTAGGAATGTGTTATTTTAAGGGTAGAAATCTAGAATAAATAAAATCAGATATACCAGCTTTCCATTTCACTAAATTCGGGTGGAAACATGTCACTAAAACTCGGGTGGAAACATGTCGTTTACTCTTTTTTTCATTAAATCTCCTAATAGATATTCTGCCAGCCGCTTCCTGGCATTCTACGCTTTCTTTTGCTTTTTCCTTTTCCCCTGTCTTATTCTCTTTTCTTTCATGCACTCGCTCCCTCGGATCTTCTGTTTTATTTTCTTTCTTTGTTCTCTTCTCTTTTCTTTCTTTTTCTCCTTATGTTATTCTTTCTTTTTCTTTTATTTGGAAGACTTCATGGCTAGACTTCTTTGAATAAGATGGATGCTGTTAAGTAGCTAGAAATAATGAAGTACAATTTGGTTATATAGAAACCAAACATATACGATGATTTATTATATCATTCTCTCCTGTAGAAGTTCAGATTTTTTTGAGACCCGGTTGTCCAATCCTGGCCGAAAGAATGTATTAAATTATAAATATTTTATATTTGTGATGTGAGATAATTGGTGAAAATCTTGTTTTTTAGTGCATTCCTCTCCATATATCAGTCTTTCCTTATACACACCTGTGTCATAAGTTTTTTATATCCACTCTCTGTTACTTTTGCATGCAAGATTTTTTTTTTTTTTTGGCTGTAAAAAGGAAAATCTTGTATACAAGAGTTCACTCTCATTTTTGAGGGCTTAGGCATGCGACAAAATTATTTTGCACATAAATATTTCTGAATGAATATTCTGCGGGCATCGGGGTAGCTATAAGAAGATCCTAAACGTGCTGTTACAACTTACATGAGTAAAGAACAAAGAGGCAAATGCAATAATTGTCAGAGATATATATATATATATATATATCAACTTTAGTTTTGCTTTAGAAACAGGCTTGAAGAACAAATATGCTCTTCGGATTAAAGAGAAAAAGAGAATTAGAAGTGACTACTAAGACAAAAGAATAGTGTTTGTACTCAATCTATTTGACAACAGAAAATTAGAATGAGAAACAGTTGAATTATAATTAGTTGATATAATATAGTAAAGAGTGAAGAGTGAGATTGTCCGTAGAAGATGGAGTACAGAAAGCCGATAGGATTAATTAAATTGTAAGGTGATTGCCAACATGAGATTGAGCCATGCGTACCAAATTGCCGAATATTAATTAGTTCTCAATGCTGATCAGGTACTAACTGCTCTTTTGCTTAGAGCTTCAGAAGACAAGGCCCCCCAAAAACAAAAAGGTCCACTGTCCATTTGATTTGTAATCTAAACATAATTTTCAAAAATCTGGCTGCTTTTGTTTTGTTATTTTTCCCCCTCCTACCCAAAATATATATTTGTTTCTCTATTCTTAAAATCTAATCCTATTCTATTTTACTCAATATATTTATTTTTTAACCCCCTAGATTTGTTAATTTAACTAAACATTCCCAGTCGGGCACATCCAGCTAGTTGTATGCCATTCCGGTGAATTTTAGCCACCGTTCAACGGTGGTGGTAGGCTATCAACATTTAATGGGTGGGTGGGGTATTTTTGTTAATTTTAAAATTTTTATTGTAGGGGTTGTTTAACTAAATTAATAAATACAGGGCATTGAAAAATAATCTTATCAAACACATTTTCAAATTCAAATCCTATTCTTATAATAATAACTCAACTCAAATTTTTCAAAAATACTACTCAAAATAATAAAACAAACACCGCCTTAAACGATTCAAATATGATTTCGTAGTTTCTAATATATTAAAATATGTTTGATATAATATTGAAAAACTATAAAAAAAAAAAAAAAATTTAAGAACCTCTTTAATTGTTTTCTTGTTTTACACTAGCTTTTATGATTATATTCAAAAACTGTTTTCAAATACATTTTGACTCATTTATACCAAACATATTTTCATAAGATTAGTTATGTGTATCTATTGTTATGGAAAAAAGAAGAAGGAAAAATTGTATTAAGTTCTACATTTAACAAATACCTATTAATTCCTTTAATATGAAAATGTAATGTGATAACAATGATACATGCTAATTTAAATTATGCCTGGCAAAGCCTCATGCAATTAAAATTAATCTTATTATATTATATAATTTAACAATAAAATTATACTTACAACTTTTTCAAACAACCTTTTTATACAACTTTGATGTGACAGTTCGTGATTGGTAAGTTCGCATTTAGACAAATAGAACCCCCTGCAAGTTGATCAATCATTAACCATTACATCAAAGTTGTATGAAAATATTGTATCAAAAAGTTGCAAGTGTAGTGCTGCTTATAATTTAAACTCCATAACTAAACAAATATTGGACTGAATAATCCCTATCTCTTAGCTTAAGGCTTTACTGTTACAAACGTTCAAATCCTCACATTTCAATTGGATTAAAAAAAATGGAAGGAAATAAAATAAAAAAAAAAAAGAAAAAAAAAAAGAAAAGAAAAAAAAAAAAAAAAAAAAAAAAAAAAAAAAAAAAAAAAAGAAAAAGAAAAACCAAGTCTCATATAGTATCTACTATCTTAAGCTTTTAGTTTAACATGAATAACTTAACAGTGAAGAAAGAAGTCTTAAACATGAAAGAAAATTTATTAATGATAACAACCATAGAACGGAACTCTGAAAACAGGAAAGAAATGCAGTAATAATAACAACAGCAAATTTCAAATTAAATTACAATATCTTGAACAACTACTTGACAATCAATTTGGCTGCCGCTTGGCCATGAGATATCTGGAATTGATCAGTCATTCCAAAATGTGCCATAAGAAACCAGACATGAGTGAGAAGCTCTCCTCCTCGTTTCAGGCGGCGAGCATGTTGATTTCCTCTTCCCTGACTTGCAGCATAAATTAAAATCTCCAACCAAACATCTGTAATCATGTTCCACTTCCTTTTTTCATCTGTAATTTTATTCAACTCCGTTGCCAGCTTGCATGCATCAAATAACACTGATTTACTTCTATCTCCTTTCACTTTGTTTGGCGGGACATAAGTTTTAACTCCAAGTAACATTCTGCAAGCTTCAACTCTTCTTTCTTTTCGTAGATCCCCTTTCTGACCAGGAGGTTTATTACTGGTTTGAGTTTGCCTTGTCCCAGTCGGCGGCAATGAAGTGTTTTCTTGACCAGAAGTTTCATTGCTGCTTTCAGTTTGGCTTGTAGAACAGATGAACATTCGTTCCTTGAAATATTTCCAAATTAACCCAGTCCGCGACAATGAAGTGTTTCTTTGACCGTTTGAAGTTTCGGTGTTGCTTTGAGTTTGGCTTGTACGACAGGTGAACATTCCTTCCTTGAAAAATTTCCTGATTTTCGAACAAGTCTCTCGAAATTTGTTAAGGATTATCCCATTTCGCAAGAATGAACATTTTCTTTCATCCTTTTTTGGAGCACGATATTCCTTGCTACAATAGATGGGTATTCGTACTTGAACAAATTTCTCGGTTTCCGAGCAAGTGTCTCGAAATCTTATAAGACCTATCCCAACTGGCAACAATGAAGGATACACAACCAGGAGATAAATCATATATCTAGACAGATACTTGCTGAATTTTCGATACTTGGTCTCACCTGAATTGCTACCTTTTTCCGGATAATTTTTGTAATAGCAAAGTGTTGTTGCAATGTGCCAAAGAAGAATGCTTTTGTCAAACTCAGCCGCCACACTCCAATTCAGAGACTCTTGCTTATAATTTTCAAGTATGCGGCCTCCCCATTTGGAGTATACCTCTTTAATATGGTCATTTTTCTTGTCATCACCAGCACTACTTTCCACTTCGATTTCATTAGATATCTTGTTTGACACATTTTCGGGGACCCGCTTCTTCAGATTTTCCTCTTTGGTTTCTTCATCGAGTTTCATGTTTGACACATGTTCGAAGACCAACTTCTTCAGATCGTCCTGCACTTGCTTGTAAGTTGTGTACTGGTAATCTTTCCATAGCCTTTCTGTGGACTGCAATCGCCCTGAGATTTTATAAACAAGGCCAATAAGGCCATGTTTCTCTTGCAGGCAAAGACATGTAACACTGTATTGCCCTATTTGATTTGACCACCTATTTAGTTTAACCATTCGCTCCAAAAAACCAACTGTGGGTTTCAAGATTGTCGAATTCTTGATCTTTTTGATCCATGTTGCAACTTTCTTATGCTGATCCAGCCATAGAGTGGATTGGTCTGAGTAAAGTAGAAACAAAGCTGCATATATCTCTAAAACAATTGCTATTATCAGCAATAGGAAGGTTATTGAAAGGTCTATCTTGGTATATTTCTTCCTGTTGACGAAACAGCTGAAGATCACTAACACGACGAAGGTGACGAAGGTGGTGATAATGCGGCGTACAAGACCCCAAGAAGTATGAATTACTGTTGCCTTTGTGTAGAGTAAGTCATACATGAATCCCAATTCGATTTCAATCACTTTGAAGGCTTCTCCATAAGACATTTTCCGGAACATATATCGACTGTGGTCTCTGTCTTGAAAGCTGAGAATAAGATCCACAAACAAACACTTGAATTTCTTAAACAAGTCATCCGCTTTACGGATGTGTTCTTCAGGTGTGGAGTCTGGTTCAGGAACTGCAGGCACTGAGATCTCAACCTGATGACTTGCTGCAATTACGTCTTGTGCCTCAACATGAAACCCTTCTGAATGCTTCAAACTGAACTCATTCATGAATTTGGGATAGCTTGGACCAGCATCAGGGGAAGTGAGCATCGAGTCTCGAAGTTGATCGCCGTTTGCGAAAAAAAGAGTAAATGTCCTCTCACCATACTTGAGGCACCCAACAACAGTCATTGGCAATGCTAGAAATGAAAGATCAGAGCCAGAATTCCAAGCCAAGAGAATGATGTAAACTGTTGCCACTGTTTGAAAAACTAGACCAAATGCGTGCCTCAGGTACAACTCGTTGTCTTCCAAAGAGTAAGCTGTGATAGTATCAGGGCCGCCCAAATGCAACAAGAAAAACGGTGCCCAAAATGCTGTAAGCTCGTTGTTAGCATCGATAGAACAGCCATGGTGCTCATAGATTTCTCCAAGGTTGTTTAGGAGAACGCCGAGGCCCATGGTGGCGACGGCATCTGCTAGCAAGTAGGCACTCCAGACTAGACCTGCAATCCACAAGTTTGGATTGTACTTCCGGCGACTGCCCCAAATGATTAGAACTAATTGTGAGATGAGGCTAATGAAAACCAGTGCTCTCAGTTCCCATTCCTTCCAAATGTCTCTTATCTTTTCGGGAAAAATCTCCATCATGCTCCTCCTCTTCATAAAAACTAAGCTGCTAAAAACTGAAAATGTACATGCAATATACATAAAGATTTTCTCAATGTATTCAAAATTTACTAAAACATATGTTAAATTAGATACCTGCAGTGAGCATCATTGTGGACAAGTTGAGTTCCTGCAATCTCGATCAGCTGTAACAGATCTAAACCAGTACTCTCTGTAGTTTCTGTGTGAGTATGCAAGAGAAAGAGAGTATCTGAAATTCCTTCAATAGAGCAACATGAAATCTGTAAATCAACCAAAGTTTGCTTCAGAAAAGTAGTGTCTACAGAAATTTTTTAATTCGTTTCTTAAATAGTAATTATTTTATATACTAAACTTGGTCAGCAGTTTATCTTATGATTCCCTGGAGTGAGTATACGTCACACCCCAACTTTGAGGTTACGGTTATTTATTTATTTTTTTCAACTAAAATGTGGAAAGTGGCAATATGTGAGAGCTGGAAATGAGTTTATTCGAATATGAACTTTTTTGGTTGGATAAACTTATTCTTTGTTACTTTGCTTTCCATTTTTGTAAAGGTTAGGGTTTGAGAGAGGATTTGAGAGAGAGTTCAAAGAATATTTGAGCTGAAATTAACCTAAGTTCAGTGAGTACAACGACCGACACCGAACTACCCACTGTATTATATAGACACAAAACGACAGCGTATAGTCCTTACTAAACTGATTCATTAAAACGACGCCGTTGGAGGGATAGCTTACACCCTTTATATCGAACAATACTAACATCCCCCTCAAGCTAGACTGGGTTTCCGGTCTTAGCTCGACACTACTTAACCAATTATCTGTTTTTCAATTCAACATAATATCCAGAATGTAAAACAATAATGAGAAAATGAAATTTGACAGCAGCAGACTAGACTTTTCTTCAACTATCACCAATGAATGAAATTTGACAGCAGATACCAATACTCTTGCTTTATCTTCAGCTAACATTAGTGACAATGCTTTGCTTCAACTACCACTATTATTGCAGTTTCAGCAAATACCAACCAAGAAAGTTAATGCCATACTTCACTATATCAATTTCAACATTAGTGATTTCAGTAAGCTTCAAACAGAACTTCATCAACAACTGCAGAAATCACTAGATAAAGCTCATCATCAACTCATGTTCAAAATTGAGTAACAGTCAGAGCTTCAGCTTCAAATTTCAATAACTTCCCACCAATCAACTGAAATTATGAGTTTCAATCTTCAATTAGCAACCTGATAAACTCAATCATTAATCAGCAACCTGAAACAAAAACTCATCATGGACACCATTAAAACTGTTAGAACCTCAGCTTCCAAGTTCAATAGGCTTATCATCAACTGAAAATCTGTTTAACTGCAATTTCAGAGAATCAACTGCCACTTCTACTCAACAAAGGAAAAATTGAACTTCCAATCTTCAATTAACACCTGAAAAACTCAATAAACAATCAGTAACTTGTCAATCTTCAATTATCAATCACCAATCATCAACCAGCAGTAACTTTGAACAAATGATCACTGTTGCCATCTTTTTCACTAAGTGCTACCACATTCAATTTATTTCTTTTGTGTATTAAATTGAGCTGCTGACAGTGCCTTGGTCAGGATACAGCAATCTGAAGTTTGAAGGGGACATATTGCACTATAATTTACTTGGCAAGCCCTTGTTCCCTTATGTAGTGAACATCTATCTCGATGTGTTTAGTTCGAGCATGAAAAAGTAGATTTGAAGCCAATGCACCAGCACTTACATTGTCACACCAAATGACAGGGAACTTGTCAATTGTTAGTCCTAACTCTGCAAAAAGACTCTAGAACCAGGCAACTTTAGTGGTTGTATGGGCTAATGCTCTGTACTTTGCTTTAGTGGATGATAAAGCCATTACCTTTTGCTTTGTTAGAGCTCCACTGAATTAGGTTAAGACCTAAATACACATATTATCCACTAGTGGATCTCCTGTCTTCAGGACTGTTGGCCCAATCAGCATCTACATAACATTTGATGTGCAAGGCAACAGCTGGTCTGAATAATCAGCCATGGTTAAGTGTCCCTTTGAGATACCTTAGAACCCTTTTGCAAGCTTGCCATTGTAGGACAATGGGAGCTTAAAGAAATTGGCTAAGTCTATTGACTATAAAACTAATGTCAAGCTTGGTCAGTGCTAAGTATTGTAAAGCTTCTATAGTGCTTTTATAAATACTAGGATAATCAGAAGGGGTACTATCTTCAGGTGAGAGTTTAGTGTAAGTAAATCAATGAGCAGAAGCAGTGGAAAATAAAAATTATTGCCCATCGATTACTCTGATTATGCCAAGATCAAGGTCTGATATATAAATATAAATATAAATACACACACACACACACACACACATATCAGACCCTGATCCTAGCGTAATCAGAGTAATCGATGGGCAATAATTTTTATTTTCTACTCTATTATAATAGATATATATATATATATATATATATATATATAATATATATATATATACTTTCTAGCTAGTAACTTTAAGAATATTGATAAATCCACTAATAACTTTGTAAACATATATATACATAGAGGTATATAATGTAAAATCCAAAATTTTTAATTTTAAATCTTATAAACATATATACAAAATAACTGATAGTACAAGGTAGTCTTGAACAGTGCTGCCAAGCTCCTCCGCTTCTTGACATCCCATCCGACCGTAAAACATCTAGTACCTGCAAAACAGTAGAAATAACGGAGTGAGCACTAATTGCTCAGTAAGTAAACCAAATTACATTACTGTTCTTCCTCCGTTACTCATGTTTTGATTTTCCTTTTCTCACTTTAATCCTTGATAATATTCTTCATTCTTTTTTGATATGCTGCATTCTTTTCTGATACTCTAATTTGCTACTTATCAACGTGCAAAGACAATGAATAAAACTGTACATCGTCGAGCACATAAGAAATACTGAATCATGTAAGTAGCATAATACATATGCAAAATAATAAAATGTACTGAGAAAATAACTTTCTTTTCTTTTCTGGTATTTGTATCTTATGCTGTATCTCTTTCTTTTCTTCTCTGTTTCTCTTTCTTTTCTTTCTTCTATTCTGGTTTGCCGATCGGACTAGGTTAGTGCATGGATTTGGAACCCTGGCCATGTGAGTGGGTACAGTCCTTATCTACATGCACTGTTGACAGACTGTACAAATATTGTATCTCTCTACTGTGGCCGCTCACTGATGGCGGCGTGCATGTAGGTATGCTATGCTGGATACAATCCTCATCCACATACACTACTGATGGACTGTACAAATACTATATCTCTCTACTGATGCCGCTCACTGATGGCAACGTGCATGTGGGCATTTCTGTCATTCATGGGTTCCCCATCGCAACAACCTTATAACATAGTATGCTGTAGAAAGAGAATAGAAAGAGATACTATGCACATTTCAACATGAATTTCCAAGCTATGGAAATTCTACACTTACATTCTTTAGTAAATGAGAAAATATACATACTTGCATGTTAGCTTAAAAGAAAACTAAAAGCCATTCTCTTTTCTTTCTTTCTCATTCTTTGCTAACATATTCTTTCATATTCTCATTTACTAAATCAAGGCTATATATAAATCATATGCACAATATATGCACGATCAAGCACATTCTTTGATGTTCTTTCCAAGTTCACATACACAAACTTGAAAATTCATTATGGCATAATGGTATGTCATGACATATTCTACCATTCTCTACTATCACAATTGCCATATCAAAGTAACACTTTAACTTGCAATTCTTTTCTAACACTTCCATGGGCATTTCAAGAAGTAGTAAAGGTTCAAGTAACTAGAACCAAGCACTATGGGCCATTTCTCTCACGGAACTAACATGACCAAGTGATATATTAAATTTCGGCATAACAATATGCACTCTTGAACACTAACATTTACACTAGGTTAAGCCCAGACATAATCTTCCTACTTCAATTCTTGCCTTTCTTTAACCCTTTCTTCATTACGGTTTAGCCAACTCATGCATGCATTTTCTCTTTGGATTTTCTTCAAACACTTCATATGCACATGCAACTACCATGTTGGCTACACTTCCACATCTTTCTAAATCCACCAAAATTTGAGCAAAAACTCACTAATTATAGCATCAAACCTGGCCATTTTCAACAATTCTAAACATTTATTTCTACACTAATTCTTCCATAATTTCACCAATTCAACACATATTCATATACTACTTCTTATGGCTGGAAATTATGCATCATTAAACATCAAAAACAGCCAACAATTCTCACATACAACCACATACAAACATGCAAGAATTCATTCTACACAAATCTTGCTCAAATCAAGGCTAAAATTGGGGTTTACTTACCTTGAATGTGTGATATAACTTCCTTTTGCTAAAAGTCTCTTTCTCTTGGACTTAGATCATATAAAGACCATAAGAATTTAAGACTTTAAAGTTTAATCACACTCCTTTTGCTAGAATCTTATCTTTGGATGCTTTAGGATTGAAAATCTTAGAAATTTAGTGAAGAAAATTGAGAGAAAATGGGGGTGAAGGGTGGCGTGAATAAGGGTTAGAATGGCTAGGGTTTAGGTTATTGCAACCTTATAACTAAATAAATATATATTCCCATTTTGCCCTTACACTTTCGATGAAATTTCATCTATATCCTTTAGTCAATTACCAATAAACCCTCATTTTTATTATCTTCTTCACATTATTTTGTTTCCTTTCACTTCCCACTTTTTCATCTAATTAGGAGTGAAAAGACCATTTTACCCCCAATAAAGTTTTAAGGAATTTCCTTCACATTTGTCTAAGGTAACTTCAAAGAAATCCAACTAGGGGTATTAAGGTATAAATAAAATTATGTACCTTGATGTGGGTGTTACAATTCCCCCCCCCCCCCCCCCCTCCACCCACAAAAAAAGAATTTTGTCTGCGAAATTCAACTGAACAACTCAGGATAGCGGTTACGTACATCTCGCTCCACTTCCCATGTAGCTTCTTTTACTGTATGATTCCTCTATAGAACTTTTACTAGTGGAATACTCTTATTTCAGAGCTCTTTAACTTTTATGTCCAGTATCTAAACTGGGCGCTCCTCATAAACAAGATTCTCCTCTAATTCCACTTCGTCTGCTTTCAATATATGGGAGGGATCGTTGACATACCTTTGAAGCATTGATACATGGAAAACATTGT